TAAAAGCCGCGGCCTGGGTTTTTTTCTTAAAAGTTTCGGGTTTTTTTGGGGGGGGGGGGGTCTGCACTCTTCACTGGGGAAATGGCGTTGCAGCCAAATTTATAGCTAAGCAGAACAGTTGCACAAATACGTTTGCCTTTGCTGCCGCAGCAAAAGGCCCTCAGAGTGTCTGCGCTGCGGGGGGGGCCCCCTTGAGGTTCTGGGGGCCCCCATCATTCTCTGGCACGCACAGGTGGTCGCTTGAGAAGTGCCCTTTTGCGCAGTTTAATGCAGTTTTTGCTCGTTTTTATGCCTTTTTTCGCATTTAATTCAAATTTGTGGGGCCGGGCATTTCATTGAGAGACTCTGGCGGCTCGAAAGCGGGCCGAAGTGGCAGTGGGGCCAAAGTGGCACTGAAGCTTCTCGCCATCGCCAGGAGGGCTAAAGCAGCTGCAGCAACGGGGGCCCCCGCCTAGGCGTGGCTGCAAATATTTGAGGTTCAGCTGCGAGTTCTCAGAGCTTTATCTAGAAGGGACTTCGGCATTCTTTTGTCCCTTAAATATCCTCAATTCTGTCTGTGGGGCCCCCAAAAGCAGCAAAAAGGAAATCTGCTGCAACACGCAGCACTGCCGCTGCAGCAGGAGCTCCCCAGCTTCTGCAGCGAACCCCCTTTTTGGGGCTGCTGGTGGCTGCTCTGGTTTTCTTTGGCCTGAGGGCCCCGAAGAGGGTCTAGTTCAGTTTATTTTCAGCTTTGAGGCTTTGGAGGTTTAGGAGGCTCCGCTGGAGGCCCCTGAGCATCAGAAGAATGGTGGATATTTTTGCCTTTTTGTGAGGGTTCTGTGAAGTTCATTGCGGCTTCATTGCGCTACAGATTCCCACAGAAGGCCTCGCAGATAGATTTTTCGCAGTTCACAATAGATGTAATAGATGAGCACTTGCACATATTCGTTGGACTCTGTAGCTTTGCCAGCAGCCCCAGACGAAATAATATTGAATGGGAAGCAGTCTTGGGATTATAGATAAACGCGCTTCATTTAGGTTCGTTTGCATGCAAGATAGAAGTGATCAAGGTCGTTTTAGCTGCACATGCTGCACACTACGCAGCTTGTGATATAATACACTTATTCTCCACTGCTATAGAGCTTTATTGCACAAAAGTTTGACCGAATTCTTCTTGTTATTCGCGTAAAAGGCACTCCGAGTCGAGTGATAAACGCCTCATTAGGACACTCTCAAAAACAAAGTGCCACGAGTGTAGGGATTCATAGCATACAAGGCCAGCGCCTTTAGTCAGAGAGCGGCCCCATAAAAACCAGAAATAAATTTCATATTATTTATTTAGAAAGAAATGAAATAAGGGCTACTTTTAAATTGTGAGTGTCCGGCATCCAGAAGTGGTGGCGAGAAAAGCCGGTAATGACCCTCACGGACGAAGTATATTTCCATTTTTTAGCGCAATTCGCAATTTTATTTCATAAAATTTTTTTAAATAAAGTGAGAAGGGAACACGAGGCCGTCAGCCCCACGGTTGTCGAAGAGCGGCATGTCGCCTCGGCCGCTGCCAACCGCCTCTAAAGCCTGGGGCATTTGCATGCATTTAGCTTGGATGCAAAAAGAATAAAAGTTGTGTGCAAGCGTATATTCTCAAAATACTTTTTTTGGAGAGAACGTTTCTCCACGGCTTCACATTCTTTCCAGCACGCATGCCTTGGTATCCAGCGCTGCGGACTTCTTTGTCTTCAAGTTTCTGCCTCGCGCATGTACCCCCCAATATCTGAGCACAGAAATAACTATCAGAGAACAGCGTGTCTAATGTTTAATAATTTTCCTAGTTTGGTGTGGCAGCAGCAAGCAGGAGAGTGCAGTTCGCCTCCTTTTGCGTTTTCTAATTCCTCCGGAATTCCAGTTGCTCCTTTAACTGGCTCTTCTACTTTTACTTATCTATTTTGAGTTTCTGGGCTGCCGGTCGCTCCAGAGGTTACGTATTCCCTTCAGGAGAAGAAGATGTCCACTATCAGGAATTTTAATACAATTGCTCTTAATTTTTTACTCTACTAGTTGTGCTCTTTGAATAACATTACTTCTTGATTAAAGGACCTGCATCCTTCGGGGGTCAGTTTCGTGCAGAGCTCAATCATGTGCATGGAAATCCTATTTAATTTTGGTCACTTTTGTAGGTCTAACTCCGCGATTTGCATGATTCATAAATGAGTTTTTGCGTTGCAAGGTTTTAAATATTGAATTTTCGAGCATAGACCATAGGGAAGTACTCCACATGAAGCTTTTGAGTTTTAGTGGGTTGTGTTTCGAGTTTTGAAGAGTTGGACCTAGCTGAGTTCGGCTCTAATTCAGCGCTTTTGCATCAGGCGCTAATTTGCACTACGTCTAGCATAAGCCCAAGAGCCCTCTTGGGTAGCTCACTTTTAAATGTGCAATTTATTTTCTCATCATGTCTTTATATATTTCCTTAAATACTGAGTAGTGCGATTTCTGCCTAAGGTGCATCTACTGAAGTGGCCCATTTCGAGTATTAGGCTGGTCAGGCACGTCAGGATTCCCAAATGCCGCATTGTGCAGATGAAGCCTACCAAGCCTGGTCGATTATATATCGGCTACATCTTTGTGTCAAAAGCATTAAAAAAGGGGCCACAGTGTCGGGATATATTTAAACCAACAGCCCAACCAGCGCAGAAGTAGCTTCCTGTAGTGGGAAATATTGCAACTTCTTCCAGAAATTGCCTTCAAGATTATATTATTCAGAATATGTTGGTTGAAGCACTAGCCAGAAATAGCCAACAAGCACAGAGGCTTAGTCCTTGGGTGATAACTCCTGTTATATTCTGCAATGAGGCGCAGGGCTGAGTGCGGGCAAAAGGCGCTGTGGCTGCAGTGCGCCTCCCTCCCATGCAGCGAAGAACTATGCGGGGAAAAGGCTGTGCCCTTCGAAAAGCTACCTGCACTGAAGGTACTTGAGTTCTTTTAATGCTAGAATGTGTTTCTAGTGAAATGCGATACGCATGAGCCTATGTTGCCACAATGGAATGACGCGTAGTAGCCAAGGTGGGCTTGACTCACAATATGACCAGCCGTATGACCGTAAAAGCCCTTATCCTCAGGAGTCTATTAACCCCCCCCCGAGGGAAAACCGTTACGTAATCTAACTGTTAGGCTAATAGGCAGAGTAACGACAATGGCCAGCTGCCTCTGAAGGCCTGGAGCGCCTGAGAAGGTGGATCGGCGGTGCATCACCGAAATGAGGGAAAGTTATTCACAGCTCCTGCGTGTCTCTTATCCTGAGCCCATAGTGAGTGCTTTTCGCTGCCAGCTGCGGAAGCCGTAAGCCCTTTCTTTTCGATGCTTCCTGCACTTCCGAAGATACGACTTTTATGTTTAAGCGTGCGTCTTACATCGGGGAGTTCGCCCGTACTGAATCTTGCACCCTTCTCCTTAAACGCAATAGAGGAAGCCACAGTCCTTCTTCCTCTCTAACAACCACTGGAAAATCTTTTGTACTTAGCAAAGAAAGTTCGTTTTAGCCCGATAAAAAGAAAAGATACAGGCGCCATGTCGGAGCGCTTCTTTTACAGTGAGGCATGCCTGGCTTCCCTTGCGGGAGCCCAGAAAAGCTGCTTTTCGCTGCCAGCTGCGCAATGGCTCTTCCCTATACGAGCAAACATCAATTACAATAAATATTTTCCAAAATGCGTGTATGATAAGGAATAAGAAAAAGCATAGAGTACCTGGGTGACTGTTTCACGCAGTACAGGTAAAACTTTTGAGATATGGCAGATGTTGCCCAAAAGTGTGGGAGCAAAACGTCCTATACAACCTGGTAATAGTATGAAGGCTCTTTTGACCGAATTGACTAATACCTTCACGTCAGGCGGAAGACTCAGACGAGCAATTCAAGTTACTTAACGCAGAGGGTCACTGGGCTGAAGGAGATGAGCCTCTACAGGTGCCCGCAGCCGATGAACTGTGCCGAAACGGAATAAAGCCAGACAATAATCAGAGTCCAATTCCCATTGAGTCAAACCTTATTCCTAGCAGAGTTGAATACAGACTATCTGTACAGCCGCTTTCGGGAAATACGGGAAGGCCCGA